GTTATAGCTAGAATACTTGGACAATTGCTGTGTGATGATCGGCAGCATGCATAACCTGGCACAGAAAGTTGGGGTGCGCTTGACTAAATCTAAGTATAAACTTTATTTATATTTTATAGTTATTATATCGAATCTTATTTACTTATTGATCTTTGTGGCTAATTTTTTTTTTTTTTGCGTCGCTTGCTCCTTAAACTCAGCCGAATAGCTATTTATCCAATTTTTGATTGTGCTCACATTTGGCACATCTTCTTTTTCCACCTCCCCCGGATACTACAAATTCTTGAAGGGAATCATGCATCTCTTGCGCAGTTAATTTATCGTGAGGATTAATATTTCCATTCAAAAACATACTGATCAAAAATTGTTTGACATGTTTTTTTATACGTTTACCGCCACCTTTTTTACCATATTTTTGATTCCCTTTTACTGCCCAACCTTTTTCAAATCCATAGATTTGATCAACATCCATCAATTCATCACCTAGACAGGTAAAGCGCATTTGAAAATTATTTATTGGTAGAATTTAATCTGATATAATGATCATAAAATTTCTTACTTGGCTCATTAGAATCTTTTGATATCGGACAAGGTAATACGTTAATTGTACCTATATTACCTGATGCTATTAATTTATAATACATTGTATATCCTTAATAGATGTGTATAGCATATACGTATTGTAAGCGAAATTTTTTCTGATGACTTTACCATTTACCATTATATATAATACTCGGTTCCTATTCAAAAAATCCCGAATACTATTCATAGATCTGGTGATTTTATTTGCAGAGAAGAGATACTTTATATGGTAGAAGAGTATTATATATAGTGGCAAACGGTATATGATTTCTGCTAACAATTAGTTTGGTAGTAATTACAATTAGACATTATATAAGTAGCAAGAAGGAAAGTCAGTAAATTAACTTTAACCTTCATCTTTCAGAATTAGCCTCCGAAAAATCTTTAGCTCTAAGACTATAATAATGCAATACGTATACCAAAATGACCAGAATGACTAATTGTATATTCGATCACAAGTTTGTACAACTTACTCTCATTATAATGAAGTTTCTAAACCGAGAAAAAAATTGCACTATATCTTATATCAAGAGAATATTATATTTACTTCACTATATTGAGTTGAAGTTTAATAACTCTGAACTTAAAAAAATCTTCACTATAATGAGAATAAGTTGTATTATAGAATAATTGCTCAGAGGCTTAGTCGGGTGAGGTGAAAATTATTTTTGTTACTCATATAAAGCATATCATTAATCTTAAATAATCAAAATTAGCATTTATATTTACTTGGTCGAGCCATCGTCCATTTATTCTTAGGTGTAGTGGAGCTTGATAATACTGGTTCGGGCCTGGAGATTTCATTATTGCTAAAATTTGCTATTGTAGCTGGCGAAAAATGAACGGACTCACCAAAATTTGGCATTGGTCGTGCTTGTATATAACCTGCAAATGTGCCATCAATTGGCCATTCCCAATAAAAAAAATTAGAAATTCCTGGAATAGTATTAATGGTAACTTTTTTTTTTCATTAAGTTTTTCGGAATTGTTTTCCAATTGATTTACTTCTTTTTTAGATCTATTAGGTTGAATATTTGCGAGATAGGTTCCTGATAATCCTTTTGCCGCATTTACAATATCTGACACTTCTGAAATATCGCATCCTATCCTTACATAACGATCTATAGCATGGGAAATCTATTGCAGAGGAAAAATCGTATCGTATTTTCACATAATAATGCTTATGAGCATTATTTAGAAAATTGTGGCCCTAAAAATATCATATATGGTTTCAAATAATGCTCATACGCATCCCAAATAACGCGCACCCTATAGTAAGAGGAGCCTATTCATAGTAAGATTTAAACAATACTTCGTACTAAGTAAATTTACTTTCGAACTTTAATAAAGTTGTCCTTCAGATCGTCTCGATCTGAAGAACTTTATTAAAGCTCAAAAGTAAGCTTACTTAATACCAAGTATTTTTTTTTTTTTATAAGATACTTAGAAACTTTATATTTGTTCCATCCGCGTACTCTAAATAATGCATATATGCTCAAAATAATGTGCAGATGAGCATTATTGTACGAAAATACGGTAAGTCCAATAATTATAAAATGTTTTAGTGATAGTATTACGTGTCTAATCAAAGTTTATAATAATATACTTACAGCTGCGTGATGTGAATCAATCGTGGTTTTGGCTTCGCCTGGCTCTAGAAATAACCATCCTCGAACTTCTATTTGGTACCACTCATACCAGTGTGCAACAATTACCATAACTTCGCTACAGTGATAGTGAGCGCCATTGTCAGATATAATATGAATCCACTTAGGCTTTTTTTTTATTAAAGTAAAAACTGCTTCGAAACATGAAACCGTAAACCAGGTATCCTGTTTTGTATCGGTTGACTAATGATCATATGCACTAACTTCTAAATCTTGTTCATTTTCATCTAGAGTAAAAACTAAGATAGTATGGAGAGTCCATCCACGTTTCCCAAAAAATTGTTGTTTAGTTTCTCGTACCGACTTTGGCAATATGCGCATTTTATAATCAGCTATAATTACTGCTCCATCTTTATTAATACTTCTTAATATTGGTTTAACCTGAGCATTTAAATATGCCTTTCTTGCTTGATGGGCCCAGTAATATTTTAACTTCTCTTGGTATTGATTTAATTGCTCACATTCAGTTTCAAGTTGTTTTGGTAAGGATTCGAATAGCTGGAAAAATAAATTACATTTTTCGCAACATTTTTCGTGCGTGTAATCACATAATCCGAAAGCATAAGGTAAGCAATGATTGATACAATTATCATGAAATGTTGTTCCATCATCATTAATTACTAATTCTCGTTCGAACTCTCGTTTCAAATGCCTCTTTAAATTATCGATATGTATTAAAAGTGGACTCTAATATAATATATAATTGAGTTTTTTTTTTTTTATAAAAAATTTTTTGGAATTATTAAATACATACTAATTTATCTTGTGATTTTATATTGCTTCTGATTATAGCAATTAGATCTTCAAATACTTCAAATCCATATTGGCTACATATTTGGCACAGTCCGCCAAGGTCTTCACGATATTTAATATTAGATGCATCTGCTAACCGTCCCATAAATGATGTTTTTTTCATTCCATTAGGATATAAAGATTTGAATTTAGACCACAATGCTTTTTTTTGATCTTGAAGATAAAGAATCGAGAGTCCACTTGCTTTGTCTACTTGGTATGAACTCATAGTTACATTACTTTTATCTGCAAAAAATAATTGAAATTCTTTTTCTTTTACTTCTGCCATTTTTTTAACCTTTTTTTTAGGTACATTAATAGGTACAGCCCCAGGTCCATACAATCGTGCGTGTTTTCGAGCTATATTAATTGTAGTGGGTCCGATCTAATGACAAATAAAATAAAAGTTTAATGAATCTTTAGTTTTAAAATATTAGTTCGTATTTATTAATGTTTTGGGCGAAGCCCAAATATTTCGCCAAATCCGAATCCGAAATTTGGGCGATACTATTTTCGCCCAGCATACAAATTTCTGAAATCCGGAATTGCCCATATTTTGAAGAGTCTGAAATTATCCGAATCTATGATTGGTCACTTTCAAAAACGTGATCCAATCATGTGAAATTATTGTTTCATAATTCTATTAAACCTCCCAAACCCGATATACATGGTTGACAGATTTTGTATCAGTATTGAAGAGAACCTCCCAAATATAATAAAAAATTAATTCACCAAGTCTGCCTCCGCTATATGAATCTAATAGTTTATAAGTTTTCAAATATGATGCTTTTCAATACTGACAAAATCTGTCCATTATGCATATCGATTTTTGTCAATATTTAAATTCGTGAATATTTCAGCTACTTATGTATGCGTGATTCGTCAGTACATTTCGAATATAAATTAATATTTAGGATCACAATGTATCCCATTAAAGAATTGAACATTTCATTAAAAGATACATATTGCTAAACCTTCCATCGGATTTGAAAATATAAAATATTAGATTCATGTAGCGAAAACAGACTTGGCAGATTAGATTTGACAGCTTTGACGGGACCAGTTTTGGGAGGTTCAATAGTATTCAAATTGACATAAGCAGCTGTTGAATAAGACAGGTAATGCTTCATGCTACTCATCATTATGATATTTGAATTTTAGATCAGAAATATTGAAAATATTGGATTTTATCGGTTTTTCGTCTTGATTTCGGAATTTGTTTCAGATGGTCCTATCAAATCCAAAATATTTCAGAAATGAAAAAACATTCACTCGAAACTTATACCTGTAATTTTTTTTGCAATTCTGAATAAGTAAATTTTTCAGCTATAATGGAAAGAATTCGAGTTCGATTATATGGGCCACTCTTGTTACAATTTAATGACTGTTTAAATGCTTCCCAAAAATTAACATCAGTACTATTTGCAATTATAATTGGTGGTATGATATTAAGGTCAAGCATTTTGCCTTGATATAATTTTTTTAAATTTGCCTGATCTACTGTAGGATTTTTGGAACGTGTCCAAAATTCTAATAGTGAAATATTTTTCGCGAATGGTGTAATATTCGTACATCCACATGCATTAAGCATTGCTTTCCATGCACAAACATCTTTATCCTGTAATTGATAGGTTGGTAAATATATTGATTGTAATGCTTTGTCTAACCGAATAATTGAATTTCCTTCTTTTAACCAATTAAAAAATAAACTATGCCATTTTAACATGCTACTCATATTAAGTTTTCGTGATTTTATATGTCTATCAAAAACTGCATTAAGCTTTTCAATTGAATACCAATGCTGCGAGGTACATGTAATCATAGATTTAGTCAATCGTTCTTGTACAACGGAAGAATTCAAATATCCAAAAAGATCGGTTCTATTATATTTGGTTAAAACTTTTGTTTTTTTTCCAAACAGCCAATGCACTTTCATCTTCATAATGAAATTCTAAATCCATTTCTTTGTAAAAATTAAGGATAAATTTATTATTCGCAATTTGCTGTTGTACTAAATATTTATCACCATTTTTTCCTTTTTTAGTGATTAAAGAAGAGACAAAACCATCGTATGTATCTATATCTCCTATATTCGAAACTACTATTGAAAATGTATCAAGAGTAAAAAATATTGGAATAAAATAAATATCCTCTAATAATTGCGAAGTAATGTTAATTTGATCTAAACCAATTACAGCTGGTCCAGAAAACATTGTTTTGGTTTTAAAAATCATATTGTATGCTATCGTAATAGCATTTGATAATGAGGTTTGTATACCACTACTACTATTTCCACTAGTACAAATAAACCCCGGTTGTAAGATATTATCTTCGCTTTGAACAACCGTTATAAAAAACTGCTGTTTATTAAGAAGACACATAAGACGCATATATAAATGGAATGGCACTACAATTTGATTATTTTCTTGAGAACGTATAGTCCACCAATTTCGTGCATACAGTCCATAGTGTAATTCATAGACTATAGATCCTATATCCAATAAAGTAACGTGGTACTGACGTGTGTTAGACATTATTTAGCTGTTAGAGTTTTTTTTTTTTTTAGTTCCCTCTTAATAAGGAATGCAGAAAGGAAAATTTTTATAGAGTTTATGAAATCTGATTACTATATAATTTCAATAATTAACAGAAAGTTTGCTTAAAATTTGAACTGCATTTATATACGAAGTTGCAGTTAAAGTATATGAAAGATGCAAGTATTCAATTATTAGAATAAAAGTCTGATTACGTATAATAATGATTATATAAATGCAAAAAAGTAAAACAATCTACATAGAATATATCATACAATAATAATTATTATCCTTTCTATTGTTGTATTATTAGAGCTCAAATGATCTTTTGAAATAAAAAGCTAAAATAATACTTATGGAAGTTCTTCAAAAATAATACACGTTCTCTAGTTAGGTGTCTTAAATATGCATCCCATAATCGCGTGAAGTTGGTTAATTAATGTGCAAGTGGGCGCTATTTCACATATTTTCCAGTAGATTACATAATTCAGAAAACCATCTTACTGTCTAATTGTCGCTAGAGTTTGGAACTGAATTTACAGTATTTTTAAATTCAGATTGATTTACAACTGTTATAAATTCTGGGACAATTGATAAAAATAGACTGATGATTATTTGGCCGAATTTAATAAGTTTTTGAGAGATATCTGGCAAAAAATTGACTGACCGAATATTTGCTGATTCGATAAATTTGTGATTTCGATAATGATCACTACCGAACCAAAACTTATCGAATTGGCAAATATTCGGTCGGTCAATTTTTTGCTAGATGTCCCAGAATTTATGAAATTCCAAAAACCCAATGCCGATAACACCGAATTCAAAAACTTATCAAATCCGGATGAATAATCATCAGTCATTTTTTTATCAGTTGTCCCATAATTTATGAAAATAGCTAGTATTATTCTGCATATATAAATTCTACATTTTATTGGTTAAATTCCTCAAGATAATAAAAACCAGCGCCAGACTTAAATGAATAATATTATTTATGCGCATGAGTACAGGAATACATAAGTACAATTAATTGCACATTCTGTGACGACCATCGAAAGAAAATGGATTTATCACATATACAGTACAATTGATAGTATATATTCAGAACATTTTTACTTTACAGATTTGGCATTATATTTGATTTTATATTCTGATTTAATCTGAATTCGAAGAAAGTCAGATTTAAATCCAAGACCGAATCTAGTTCCAAACTCATCTCAATAGATAACAAATTTATTCGTAGATGATTCGTTCTAGCCTGGAAATATTTATTAGCATCCATAGTCATACATGCTAGTAATCAAAATTTTTGAATTTATAAATTCTCTATAATAATAATTGAATATATGGTGCGTAATAATAAACAATTTGTATGACAAAGAATTAGGTAAATAATGCAAAATTTCAAATACATATTGAGTTTGCTAGATAGATTTGTATGTAGTTTTCATATGTCTATGTAAAAATTAAAGAATTAGAAAATTTAGATTAGTAAAAATCCGATCTTGAAATCACAAAATCTGTAAGCTTTCTATAACACCTGCATGTGTTCACATCTTTTACAGTATATGCAGAATCCTGATTCGTATAAAATACATGTGTGCGTACGTATGTACATACGTACGTACGGAAATGTAAAAACCTCAATCTCTCTATAATGCATAAACTGATAGCACATCGAAATAAAAAAAATTACTAATCCCAATAAAGTGAAGGATCCCTAGACAACCTATTTGATAGATAATACACAAGTATTATATATATGCCTTATAGCAACTATATTATGCATACGGCTGAACTTAACATAAGATGCTACTGAATTTAGCTTATCTTCAATGTGTCAGATAATCTTTGTTCTATATAAAGTGATTAAGGCTTTTAGTTTCCTGTACCATACATACATATGTATATACACGCGTACGTTGTGAAAGAAAAGACTGGCCCCGAAAGATACTGCAGTTCCAATATAAAAATTCCAAAAATTCTTATAATTACAGGAATATTAGGCATTCGAGAATGGTGAGAATTCGGATAAGTATTCAAATATTATATATAGAAAGAGGTTTCCTTTTGAAATGAAGAGTTAAACGTTGTCGGTTTAATACTCAAAAGTTCTTTAAGTGTCTTTACTAACCCCAATAAATAATAATCCACTCAATATAATTCCGATTTAAAGCCTTGTAACATAATCTAGAGCTTTAATCTAAGACCCTAATTATTCAAATCAAATCTATCTAAGCTTCGATTAAAAACAAGAATCTAATAAAAATGCCCGAAAACATTAAAAAAAAAAAAGTTAGAACAAGATTAAAAGAAGTTAAAACAAAAAACTACTATTGTTGAAATATTTGTTTTATTAAATAAACAAATATAATTTTTGTAAAACAGAATATATCTGGATGGTTTTCCGGAATGAAAAAGAAATCTTCGTCTTTTCTTTCAGTAAGAGTAAAGTTTTGGCAGAAACAAGTATAATCAGCAAAATTTTTCAGAAAGAAAGGTGGAAGTAAATGATCTTGTAAAAGTAACCTTTTCAGTTTCTAAGTAACTGATATTAATCATCATTTTGTTCGGGATAAAGTAAAATAAAAAAAAGATAGCCTATTTATCAATTCATAAAAATAAATCAAAATATTTTACATTTATAAAATTTACATACCAAATTTTTGCAAACATTCCCAAGAGCATACAAAAATCTATCTATGCATCCCATTCCAAATTCATATGCCGAATACCTTCAAATAATGGTCGCATACCCGTATCCATTAGTACCGCACCAAAATTTATTGCTCTTAAATTTTCAAAATAATTGTCATTAAGTAATAAGGTAGGTACGTTGTTCATGGAGAAATGTGATATCAGAGATCGTTTGTTAGCGAATAATTTTAAAAGAGATTTCAATAGTATCGGTATATATAGTATAAAAAAAACGTTTCGTACAAATACAGTAAGACATGTGTACCCGGGATATTCCCCTAGCTCATGTTATATACCCGAGTACACATATAGGGGGTGTATATACTTGGGTACAGTGCACAGGGGTATACGTATCGGAGTAATAAAAAAAATAGAGGTGGATTTTGAAATTCGAAATTATAAAAATTATAATATGAAATTACCTGATATAAATTATTAATTGATGTAGATCATTTACTACCAATTTGTGGCAGATCATCAATTAAATATACTTTCGAGAACATTTTTATTATTTTACTGTTCTCAAAAAAATTTTTTATAGTGAACAATAAAAAAAAAATTTATATTGTGTACAAATTTATAAAAGTGTTTAATAATAACTCTGAAAACACTAAATTCTAACACTAATTCTGATTATCTATACTATCTGTGTAATTTAGAAATGATCTTGACAAAAAATTACTAAAAGAGAAGTGAGCAGTAATATTAAATACTTAGATCAATAAATTATTGCTATACTAATATGAATAAAGTTAAATGAAGAATATTTTGATGCACAATTGATAATTGCTATATTGTACAAACCTAATTGGATACGTTAAGACCTGGGTCCCAAAAGTCACAGGAAATCTAGCTAGTTATGTCAGCATGCAGACTTGAGATACTTACCCATTCGGGTAGAGGCAGCTGCATGGCTTGTGATACGAACTCCTGGAAAGTATGCTAAGTAAGGATTGAGAGAGAAATCGCTCTGTCAGCAATACCAAACTGGAAGCAATAAGTGCCTATCTGGTACACACCAATTTGGGAGTTGAAGATAAAAAGTTTGTGGGTAATGTGGTGGATATGTGAATACTGATTGGTGGTTGGGGAAGGATGTATAAAATCCAGGTCAATCACAGGTGTGGAGATGTTGATGGCTCTGGTGGGTTTTAGCTGTGGATAAATAGTCTTAGTACTTAATGTCCTAGTTCTAGTTCTGATATATAATATGTATGTATTTATGGTACTATTTACTTAAGTATTAATAAAAGTCTGGGCAGGAGCTACACCCCAAATATTAAAAAAAAAAATAATAATTGCTATATTGTGGGTTTCAAAATTAAAGAATAGTAACATATTTCATATTTCTGATTGAGTGACCTTAAATCTAAATTTCGTATTTGTATGCTTTATTTAGTTTTCTGATTCAGAATTTCATAAAAATAGAGATTTTTTAAACTCACTTATTTTCAAAATCAGTTACTTTGAAACTTCTATTATACTTATATATTGAATCTATGAATAAGAAATTGACTAGAAAAAAAAAATTATCTTAAAAACTTTGATTAATAATTATATGCTGAAGAGTAAAAACTTGAGAGTAAAATTTTAGTACAAGGTAATAAACTTAGCTCCAGAATTGTAATACAATCGATATACTGTATTATTTTTTTATATAGTATTTTGCATAACTATAATTGAATAAAAAATAAAACTATTAAAATAATACATGACATTTGAATATTGATAGTGCACATAACTAATTATAATTCTTTTTGGGCTAAATTCGTTACGGCAAAAATTTAAATTTTGGTTTGCATTACTAAAATAGTCATTAGATATAATCATAATGCAAATAAAAAAAAAGTTGAAGATAAATACCATACCATTCTGAAATTAATCATCTCTCTTTTTTTTTTATAAGAATGCTTAATTTTGGTTAATTTGGATATAAATAAATTAAAAGCAAAAATTGAATTAGTGGATAGCTAATATAATTTGATTACTAGTTATTGTATACTCAACAGATAAATTAATGTAAATATGTCTATCACATTAAATTATAGCCTCAAAAATTTTTATGCCATTGTTGCCAGAAAGACTTTATTTTTAATGCCATACTTATACGTTTAAAATTAAACATTTTTTAACTTGTTTAAAAATTGCAGTAAAATTCTTTGAAAAACTTTCAAATAATTACTTTAAACTTCTTGATAACCATGAAGATTATTAATGTTGGCACATCTCCAAGCATTAAAATGTTCAAGGCACATTTAGCAATTTTAAGACACAAATCTTTATATTTTCATAACGAGTTGGCAAATATCTGTAAAGATAAAAATAATATTAAAGTACTTAATTTAATCAATATTACTATTCAGCAATTTGAAATTATTATCAAGTAAGTTATTTTGTATTGCAATTCATAAATTCTATTAAGCTGAAGAAAAATCTAAATTACTGTATGCTTATAATTTACACATAGATATATCTATGGAGGAATAGTCTTACTTGAAAACTATAATAATTTATTTATTTTTGAGCTTATGCTTATTGCTTATGAATTTTTTTTTGATGAATTGGCAAAATACATTGGATCTCACTTGATTGAATCGAAAGCTCATTGGCTTCATTTATATTTTACTAATGTTTATCAAAAGATTTTCAGAATGTAAAACTTCAAGAATTACAAAAATGGTACAATGATATTTTGGTAAAATATTCTGATAAGGCTTTTGATTCAGAAAATTTATCTCATTTCAAGAAAATGTATTAGTATCACTTATTAGTCAAGATGATTTACAAATGGAAGAAGTAAAATTTTAGAACCATGTTATCGAATGGGAATTGCTTAAAATCCTGGTATACTATCTAATCTTAAAGACTGGTCCTATGAGAATTTTCTAACTTTAAAGGCTACTTTACGAAACTGCTTATCTCTTATTTGTTATTTTCAAATGCTTGGAGTAGACATAATTGATAATTTACAACCATATCAACAAATTTTAGAAAAAAATCTTTGGATTGATATAATAAAAAAAACTAGTAGTTCCAAATAGAGTTGGCTCCAAAACCCTTTATGCTAAAATCCAAAAGTTTAGAGTTTCAGATTATAGCTTCCAAAACCTTATCCGAAACCACAAAACCTTACCCCAAATTTTATCTGAAACCCTAAAACTACAAAATATTAATTTTTATATAATATTAAGCTATGTAGACAAATAAAAATGTTTTTCATTATTTGGCCGAGTAGCTTTTTAAAAAAAGTTACAGCTATTTTCATAAATTTTAAGACAACAAAAATTTTCTGATAGCTGAACTTAGCAACTTATCAAATTCGATTATTAGAAATTTTATATTGTTCTAGAACTTAGAAGAATAGCTGCAAAATTCTTTTATATAAAATTTTTATTTTTATATAAAAAAAATAATTTATAACAATTTTTTAAATTAATTTATTTATAGCTATTGTTAGCTAGAAAATAAGGGCTAGAGCAACAGACTAAGCTATACTAAAATCAACTAAAAACACGAAACAACAACCAAGACAACATATCAAAAGAGGCATTTAGATTTGAATGGTGAAATAGTTCTAAGGCTTCAGTCATTCTTCAAACAATATCACGTAATGGTCAACGTTGAAACAATAACTAACCTTCTGAAACCAACTTGCAAGGAAATCAAGTATTCACAACTCTTAGAGATACAACACAATAATTCCAACGATAATGGAGTAAGTTAGTCCAATAAAACAAGAGATTTTGCCTTAATAAAGGTAAAATCAGAAAGTGTAATGATATAGTTTTTATCAAAGAAACAAGCAATAAAGATCCTCTTTTAATTATAGAATCGGGTTAGGAATTTAGTGAATTGTATACAATATATAATTTAAATGATTCAATAAACTTTTATTTGTATTGATTGAACGATATTTTTTCAACTAGGCAAAAGGCCCTTTATTTATAGAAAAATTTTACATATTGCAAAGCAATATTATTTAATAAAGTAAATTAATAAAACCTTTTAATTGCATATAACCCAGAAATCTTCTAAATTAATTACATTGCTAAAATCTTTTTAAACCGCTTAATAACTAAAATTGTTTATCTTTTATTAATGCATTATCTTTAAGAAATGCAGCAAATACAATAAGTCTATAAGTACTAGAAGGGTAATAAATGCAGTAAGTTTAATTAATCACTGGAAAAACTAAAGATGGAAATCAATCATCATGGCTGTGGCTTATGCATGTGAGGTTAGCCGAAATCAATGAAAATTAAACTTCTGATGATCAAATTTTTCTGGGTTACACTATAGTCTACATGTAGCTATACTATCAAATAT